TATTCATCCAGCGGAGCAGCTGCTTCAACCACAACTAATGAGTTTCATGTCGTACGCACATTTCTGTAAACTGATTATGATGAGTCATTCATCATGCTTGTTATAGAAGAGAATCATTTTTTGTCCTGTGGAGGAAAACACGTGCTTTAATTCTTTGTGGTACGTGCAGTGTGGCGGAGCTTCTACTCCTGTCTCGCTCGCACAGTGGGGCTGCAGTACTTTAGTCTTTTTCTTTTGAGGATTAGATGGCTCACTGGAATGTTTCCCTCACAAACATCTATCCTGCGTTGTTGAATGTCATTTTGTCATATTTATGAGGCAAATATTGTGCGCATGAATATCAGCGTGTTACTTCTAGTACTGAGACCTGTAATTTAGTGTGCCGAGTGTCTCATGGCAGCTGCTGTAGTTAATGACTTAATGACTGCTGGGGTCTGGTTGCTTATGGTGTAGTACAATATTTGTGTTTTCAAATGACAATGTTGTCACTTTTGCATGTTATACAATATTAATAATAAACCATGAATCCCCTGGACTTGACATCACAGACATGGTTGTAGATTTATTATCCTCATTATTGTTTCATCAAGGCTATTTTGTGCTCCTTTTTACGATTAATTGAAAATAATGTCATAAAAAACTCAATTGGTCTGCTTTTGCTGGGAAAATGCAACAATATTCAATTGTAGAAATTCAATTTCGGGAAAAGCAGCAAATCATCCCATTTGAGAAGCCGCAGACAGATGTTTATATGTGGAATTGCTGCTCAATAACTCACTTAATAAGTCCTCAAAGGGCCTCATCTATTTGGTCAACACATGTTTCTTTCACGCCACAATGTTGCCATAACAAGAAACTCCCCTTGCAACGATGTAAAACCAGGTTTCATCGACACGCATTTGTGAGTTATAGATTCTTGTGGTTTTGAAATGCGAGAGTGTGTTCAAAGGAAATTCTGTTTCCATGAAATGTCGACCGTGGAATGCAGAAAGCATCTAATTTATTAGTAATTTTCAGAGGAAGGATGACAGAAATCAGACCCTGGAGTCAATAAAAAGCATGGCTTCATTTGATCATGTTTCTCTTCTCCTCTGGCTGACGGTTATCTATTTTCCTTGTTTCCTCAAATGCACCAAAAACAAAATTGTCAGTGTTGGTGAGTGGATTATGTATTTCGTGAATTCAAAACAATGGCCGCCTGGAAGCAAGTTAATAAATGCAACATCTAGCAGTTTGGACTTTGACTTTTTCTGCCCTACAGTTGTTTTATTAGACATCTTCAAAGTCTAAAAGCAACAACTACTCATTTCGTTCCCTGTTTGTGCTTTGCTCTCCATCCCTGTAGAGTTTTTGATTCGGGAAGAAGAATAATGGTGAACCTGAGTGACAGATGTTTGTATGCTTCTGTTTTTCTGAAAATCAACAGATAAAGATTTCTTTGAGTCCCGTTCCCTTTGTGTGGCATCTATCTGATCCCCTGAGTCGTGACTCATACCAAAGCACAGTGCTACAAAGCCACGGCAGTAAAATGCTGCATTGATTCACTGTAGTTTCTTCAGTGCCACATTTGGTAAAAATGGTAGTATGTTTCTATGAAAAAACAAAGAAGGTGTTGCTCTGCAAAACCTGCAACTAACTGACAGGATTTAAAAATGTATTCCGACCACATGAGTTCAGCAAACTTCCTCTTTCAGATAATTGTCTTCCTGACATCAGGGGGTTGGATCAGATCTACAGTAGAAACCTACAAACAGCAGTTCAATCATTTCTTGCTGTAGTCTTCTTCTTCAAATGGACCTCTGCTTGCTTTTTCATTTGCATTTAACAAAGGCGGTCGGCCGCGTTTATATAACTGTGATACACATTCATGCCTTTGTCACTTCCTGGTTACGATAGGCTTCGGCATGGAAGAGCTGAAACATCAGCGGTATTATGCTGAGTCCTGAAGAGTAGTAGGAGTTTGCTGCAGGCACGCTTACAACAGCAACACTACCAGATGCAATAACAACATACAACTAAACAGATCACGTTCTTTTTGGACTTAATTTAACTAATAAAGAAGAGAGCAACACTTTTAACGGATTAAATCGAATGTGGTCCTTTAACAGAGCATCCGATGTACAGTGCTAAACAATGCACTTACTTGTATAATTTTATATGCATACTTTTACCTTTACTGTTTGTTGTATATTACGTTAGAATGTATTTATGTTCTGCACCGACCGAGTGGTCATAACGTCAGCTGTCCTGCAGAGCAGTTCTGACCCCCGACACTATTGTAGTTTACGAGGTCAGGAGCTTTACAACGTGTTCTGAAAATAATCCGTCACACCACAGCTGTTTGATGAACACGCTGCAGTGAGCGGTCTGACAGATGGACCGAGAAAATAGATCCAGAAAGACGGAGGCAAATTGCACAATATTCTATGTGTGTTGCATCTCCCCAGCGATGCAGCCAATTAGAAACCTTACTTAAAGATAAGGACGCCCCTTTATTTTGAAAGGTTGGCCCTGAGAACGAAATCATTATTTTAAGTGTGTATATAGTGTCTGTACTTACGCATGAAATCCCTGACATTTGGAAACAAGGCTCACTCTACCTCAGAGCTGTAATTGCATACAACAACAACTGGCAGAATCTGCAGTGGAACATGCATGTGCATGTATGCAGGAATATGTGTGCTTACACATACGTGGGCTTTGGGACATCTACCCCTGCTTACAGGCTCTCCGTGTGCGAGTGTGTGTGTTGGATGAATGGTTTTAATGATTTCTTTTGAAGTGGTCCTCGTATTTGAGTATAGTGGAACTAATTACGCTGATTGTCTGGAATGCTGCTGCTGTTACTGTGAATATTGTCCTTTCTGCCCTGTTTCTGCTGTACATTCCAGTCTCCAGCTTGATAAAATACCAGCACAGAGGGAAAAACACATATTTGTGTGCCTGTTTCATCTGTAGAGCGGCAAAGGGAAAAGCTGGCTAGTTAGCCACCCCTGAAATATTAACTTACCAGCAGAAATTCCCATGAATGTCAAGCCAAGGGCTTTGTAAAAGCAGACAGGACAGTGAATAATTCATGTAGAAATTGTGTTTCAAACTGCCTGACTCTGCTTCATCAACTGTTTGAACTGTGTAGTCGGCTTTGCAAGCTAGAAAAATATTAGCACTACTTTGAAACAACAGTCTCAGAGAGCAAATGAGTCTGAGAAATATGACATTGACTGGAGCTTTAGGGAACAAGGAACATGCATAATGTGTCTATGTATTATGATATGACCATTTCCCAGTCAGCGTTTAGTTCTGCATCGTGTTGAATCACCTCCGTTAAGGTCCTGCGACCTTTTATTATCACATAATTGCCGTAGTAGAAGATAAGGAACTACACAGATCTTTGGACCAGGGACACCCTATTTTAACATAGTGCTTTTTTCTAATATAAAGACACCTCAAAAAAACATGATTTTCCTTTGAGAAAATAACTGACGGTGGTTTTGTAGTTTGTGATAGATAGTCTGTTAAAGTTATTGTTATTTTAATCAACAACGTGGGGGCTCAACAGCTAAAGAGACTTTAATAGAGGAAAACAACAGAGGCAACATTTATTAACATGTATAGTCTGCTGGGTTTGTATTTGTTATTAAGTATAATGCCGGAATGTATATTGTCAATACATACAAACAATATAGTCCTGGTCTTTCATACGACAGTTAGTAGATGTTTTCTAGATTCGCATTCCAGACTCACAAGGTTAAAATCACTATCACAGCTTTAGTTATCATAAAGTCCTGTAAATGCATCGGGTAGAGTTTTATTGGTGCTTTGATATTAACACTTTGATTTGTCCGTTGACGCCCCCCTGGTTTCCTTGTTGTTTTACGACATCAGCTCATTCTGTACTTCCTGTCCAGAGGTATTATCTGCCAGTTGGTTAGTCACTCACAGGTGATAAAGCTGCAGCCAATCTGTGCGTACTTTCAGTGGAATTCTAATCACACACCCAGAAACAACATGCCCAAAGTGGTGGTAACGTCTGTCCCAAATGGGATGTTTCTAAGTGAAACAACGAGGCGCATTAACAAACAACTACGTCAGATTATTATTATTACACAAGATGCCGTAGATGTTAAAGCAAGATGGAAGGCTGTAATTATTTGTACAAAATGTCAAGAATCTACAGCTGTTTTTCTCCATTCCTCTTTTCACTGCATCAGCGATGCACGACATGCATTTTAAACGCGGACCAAGTATTTGTTCAGTTCCCTTTAAAAGGGTGTTATGCCAGTTTGGTGAAATGTATTATTCTTTACTAGGAAAGGGTGTGAAACTTCTTAGAGGTACTATACTGCAGGTTTAAGGCGTGTCGCTGCCTGAAAGTGATTCGTTACTGAAACATGCAGTGAGGTCAACGCGATGAGGTCATTGTGATGGCCTACCAGGTAGCAAGTGAAATGAATAAATGTTGTATTGGAGCTGTGGAAAAAACAGCGTTACGCTTGTTACTGGACAAAGCGGCATTTAGTAAAAATGTATCGCTTCCAAGGAATTACTGAAAATTCATGAAAACAAAATAAATGTTTTGGCATCGTCTCTCAAAGCAATAGCGAACGTATTGACGTTTATTTGCAGTTGGATTTTTTAATCACATTTTTTCAGATTTATGTGGTACTTAGCAAAAGTGACAGTACAACAAAACAGTGAGTCAAACATTACAGGCAACCCTGGATTCTAAGTCCAATAGCGAGGAGTAAAAGTGTAATTTTAACAACTCACTGGCACAAGAAATGCCCAAACATAAAAGAAGCCAAAGAATGATCCATGAGTGAAAATAGAGTAATGAAATCTGAGGAGAACTAGCAGAGGGAATGCGTCGTGTAAAATGAAACTGCAAACCTTACAGGAGCATTCGTAACACAAAACCAGAATTAATTCATTTTTGCAGGGATACTAGAGAAGAAAGCCCTTTATTCAACGTCTACTTCTGTATTTTGTGTGTTTTTCAGGCCAGGAGGAGGACGGGCGGAAGGTTCTGGTGCTCAGCTACCCGCAGTACTGCCGCTTCCGCTCGGTTTTGGCGCGCCTCAGGGCGCAGCCGTCCTCTCTGCTCATCGACCACACGGTGCTGGCGCTGGGCGGCATCGCCGCGTTGGGCGGCAGCACGAGGATCCTGTACTGCCGGGACACCTTCGAGCATCCGGCCCTGCTGCAGAACGAGAGCGTCTGCGACGAGTTCGGTGAGTTTCGGCTGCGGCCTGGAGATAGCCGTCGCGTTAGCTCGTCTGCGACGCCAACAGCCGTCGCGTGGGCCGGTTCCGTGCTCTCATTGGACGGTTCACCTGAAACTCGTCGCGCCACTTTGGTTACCGTGACTGTTTGCTGAAATTTGCTTCTGGTGGAAAACGTAAAAGTGTTTGGCCGAGCAATTTGACAACAGAAAACTGTACTTGAGCTTGTTTGAAATTTTAGTTTCGAAGCCAAACGCAGTTCAGTTGCCGTCCTGTGATGAATACGTAGGCAAAAAAACTGCATTTCATGAGCTGAGAGAAACAGCAGCTCTCTGTCAGTGCAATAAGGAACCATAACATTTTAGACATCATAGTTTGTTTACAGGTCCGGGGCACTGAGAAGAAGAGGAAAAAAAGGTGTATAAATCCTTTTTTCTCGCACTAGAAGAGAATCTGATAAATTGCCTCAGGTGAAGTCCATTCAGTCAGCATTTTCCAAGCGTACTACATGCTGCTACTAAAAAATCAAATGAAGAAGAAGTGAGCTGTAGCCTGCTCCTCCGCATCAGTACCAGTATTTTAATTCTCATTGAAAGACATTAAGTGCACAGGCTTTCCAATGTTTATTTTAGTTCATTAAGACCACATTCCACATTATATTATGTTACGATATACAATACGAACACAAGTGACCGCCATTCAAACACCCTCATTAGTCACACCTAAGGAAAACACTGTGTGGTTGCAGTGAGGAATTTAGAAGTGCTCGAACATGTCTATCAGCTTCCAGCGTGCTCTCCGTACCGCTCGTGAACCCACACATTTTATTAGGCCCGAGCCGGGCTAAAACAAAGGAGTAATGTGATTCGTCTCTCTTTATGTTTCCTCTGCTTGGTAGCAACGTGGAACTCAGCGGGCTCTCGTGCGGCGTCAATTTGACATTCACAGTAACGGCTCCTCTGGTCAGAAGTCATTGTTTTTCTTTTCCTGTAAATTTGCCAGCAGGTAATTGCATTTTAAGAGAGCAGCCGAGGTGAGACCAGAGGGGAAAACGCTTTTAGAGCATTGGAAAATAAGTTATGAATAGTAACGGTAACATCCTGTGGCTGCTATTGCTCATTCACTTGGCTCAATAATGCCATTCCTCTGCGAGCCACATTTAAGCTAAAGGTTTATTTTCAGAACCTAAGGGAGTTTTTTTTTTCTTTTCGAAACAAGGCAACCAGATTTCTAATGTTATTCACATAAAAGGTTTACTGGCTTTGGAGCAGGTTTTTTATTCTCGCTTGAATGGCCGCTATGTGATTTTGTTTGAAAAACAGCAGAGGTAAGTAACTTCCACCCCTGTGCCAAGTGAACCAAGGCCTCAAGGGCGTCTGACTTATTAGGCACAAACACACACACACACACACACACACACACACACTTGAATGTTTGCACATATGTGCTTAGAAACATCCACAACTGCTGAGCAAACTTCTGCTGCCATTTACAGGCGGCAGCTATGACCGCCATATTAAATTCACCTTTATGAGGATGAAAAGCAGCACTGTGGATACATAAGTAGCAGCACTTCTGCTTCGAAATAAATAAAAGTTCAAATCGATCCGGGGAACGATTTTATGACTTTCTTCTATGGTTCTTTCGATGCTAATTCTGACCTTTTGGATTCAGCCAAATCTGCTGTGGCGGCTCTAATAGCCGTCCGTCTTGTCCAAACTAATTCATAAAAGTGTGTCAGGAGACCTCAGGGGGTAGAGAAAAGGCTCAGGGAGGGAAAAAAGAAGCGCCGTGGCAGGAATTCAGCAAGCCTTTTGGTACAGTGTGAAATGTAGCCATCAGATGCAAGCCCGCCGGTGAAATGGGGTCTATTTTTTGCCGGTCTGGTTATGATTTCAAAGCAGCACTCCATGATGTACATGCAGAGTGATAACGTACTCATTGTCGTATAAGCGACGGCTATTCAAGCATGTGCAGCGTGGGCTCGCTCTGATGTATTTTCTTTGCTCCAGCTCCTGTGCACATAGCGGCTCTGATATCCTCACTATTTGTTCTGACTTTACTGGATGATGTAAAGGTCGTCCCCGGCACGACAATGACACCCGGCCGAATCTTTATTCACGCGTTTCCGTCCTCGCCGTGCTTTTGGACCGGCTCGAGAGAAACTGCGCTGGCGTCAGTCACCAGATCTTAAGTCCCGTGATCCATATTCATGTTCAGCATCCCCCCCCCCCGTCACCCCCTGCAGCTGCTGCCCTCCCGGGGAATGACACCGTTTTTTTGTTTATAATTATCACGCGTTGTCTGCCAGCGTGGAGTGATTATTCCCATGCTACTTCGTGTCCCCAATATAATGTCTTGCCAGGAGTAATATTACTAGCTGTACTGACAGAACCTGCGGCAGTACAACGCTCATTTGTGCGCGCGCTGACGTACAGAACAAGCTCTTATATGAACCTAATGATAAAGGACTTACTCACTGTGCCGTGCAGTAATAACGTTGGCACTACTGAGGCTCCTTTGCTGTGAGAAGAGGCCAGAAATAGTTTGTGTGGGCCAGGCCTTCGCCGCGCTGAATGACAAGGTTCAAGGTTGTGTTATTAGCTGTCAAGGTTTTGTCGGGTATTACTGGCATTGCTCTGGCATGCGTACTAAAAAGCAATGAGATAAACACGCGCCAGCTTCACCCAGAAGTGCTGTGTGTGATATATTTACAACAGCTACTCATTGGGCGTCTGTTAAGGAAAATGTTATGACCGACATATTTTCTCTTATTCTGATGTTATTCTGCCAAAGTGCTCACCCCCCCCCCCCAGAAACCTAACACTCCTTATGTGCACATTGCTTAAATCAACAGTATTTGGAAAGTTAGTGAGGCAATCAAGTTTGAGGCAAAGCAGTTGAGTGGAGCCCCCCCAAACCCCCCCTCTCTTTTTCATTTGTCCCATATTCCCCAGGTCGCTTCTTTGGCACAGAAACTATATATTTCATGCTAAGCTCAGTGTGTTTTGTTTGAAATATCTCTCACTCCTTGCTGGCTGGATTTTTATTAAAAAGGAACATTTTCAGCGCAATCCTTTGGAATACTTTTTTTGTAATCCTCCAGGGTGGGAGGAGTGTAAAAAAACAACAACATTCATTGCTTCAGTATATTAACATTGTCCAGATGCAGTGATCATAAACAGAATCATACCCTATTTTTGTAATGCGGTGTGTGTGTGCCGGTTTGGTACATCTGTGGCTTCTCTCTCTGTGTGTGTTTACGAGGGGGTTTCTGCATGCTGAGTTAGTTGCATCAATGTTTGACAGAAACAAAAAAAAAATCCATTTCCTGTTCAGTCACTCGTCCTCAAACTGAAACCAATACTGAGAAACACGTCACTGGAGTGAAAAAGGTGAAATCAGTTGAACGCGGTTAAATTCTAAACCTGTACTTTGAGATAATATCTTTAAAAACATGCAGTCCTCCCAGCTTGATTGGGTCGGGCCACCAGAGGAACACGAACAGTATGATGTCATTGTTTCCACAACTTGAAGCACTTTCTCGCTAGCTCTTTAAACATGAAATCAGATTGGATGTAATATGCATAGGCCGGTATCGTCCCATGACAGCCCCGTCTGTTAATGTAATAGGCAAACTGCTTTCTAAGCTCGTGTTTTCCCATCTCCTCTGCAGATTTGTGTTAACCACCAGCCCATGAATTTTTCATCGTCCATATGTCCACGGTATACAGAGGCCGTAGAGGAGAAATTTAGAGGAGAAAAGCGCACACATCGTAGGTGTGTAGCCCCATTTCATATTCAGGACGTAGACTCTTTACACCAATAAACTGGTGAAAAGACTCTTGTTCGGCTCATTGTCTTAAATGGCCGTGCAATGATAGTTTGTAAACGATTAACACACTGTGAGCAGGATGTGGCTTATTGCACAATTATTATTGCATGCACAGGCTGCATTGGTGCCACAGTGCTATTTTAACTGAAGCCATTTCTTCTATAGACATCAGCAGCATTAGCATTACTCTTTGGCTGAATGAGACACAATCCTCCTGTCCGTCCCCATCGTGTCGTCAGCAACACACCAGCTCTACTGCTTTGAATTGCTGCTTCTCTGCTGTTAGAAAACAGCCCAGAGAGATGAATGAGCATCTGACTTCGGGTGAGAGTCTTTTTAGAAGTCTGGTGCTGTTATTTATCGGTGAAGCAGCGCTGCTGGTCGTGGGTAATTGACCAGTAGGGAAAGAAAGAGCACGCAGGTACACTCTCAGTTCAGTTACAGCATCACAGCCGACCACTTTAAAAGTTTCGGTTGCATTTCCTCACTCAAATCTCTCTAAACGGCTTCCTCTGAATGTTCAGATGTCAAAAATAGACATACTCTCCACGCTGTGATGTGCAGAGGATGTGCCTGCAGCGTAAGAAGGAGACCGCAGTCACTAGTGTAGTCAGTCACTACTACAATGAAATATTCATAACACAGAAAAGGACGGTGTGGTTTAGAATGTGGATTCATGTACAATATCATGTTATTTTAAGTAGGGATTAGGTGCTACTAATACGCCAGGATGCATAGCATTTATTTTACTACAGGCTATATTGTGTTGTGGAAGGCAGGATATTAACAATGTCATGTAAAGGTGTTCTTTTGAAAAAAAAAACATATCACGTAAAGTGCAATAAATAACACACAAACACTTTAAGTTTAGTCTAAAAACCAAACCTCCGCCCTTGAATATTTATTCATTTTAGAGATTTCTCCCCTTTTCAGGCAGACATTCTTTGTCATTTTACTGTAGTATGAAAATCTGTTTTCAGGACCATGAAATCTACTCTAAAAAGGTGATTCAACCCAGTAAAACATGTATCAGCTTTTTATTGTCACACTATCATCATATGTTATTGCAGCTGTGAAGGATTTGAACTCTCTCCCCCATTGCTGCATTTGCAGAAACTCCGACATTCAAGATTTGAGAGTCATCTGCCAAGTAGGAAGCATTTTAAATAAGAGT